AAACCCTAAACCCCAAAAACAAAACCCTAAAACCCCTAAGGCCAGAGGCCTTCCGCTAAAGCGGATGCCGGATGTCCTTCCGGTAGCGGATGCAGAAAGGCGTTTAGCAAGCAAGCGTAGGGTTTAGGGTTTAGGGTTTAGAGTATAGGGTTTAGGGTTTAGGCTTTAGGGTAACCCTAAACATGGGCCATTCGTTTTCCGAGTGCTTTTCTCAGGATTATTAGAAGTTTCTCTCCGGGCAACAAAACAATTTCATTGCTTCGGGTTTCTTGGTTCGGGGCTTTAGGCGTTCGAAACTTTATTTTTTGACAAGGATGATTTGAGATTTGGGTTTTAGGGTCGAAGGTTGTGACGGGTGTTGCGTCCCATGGAGGCTTGAATATCTAGTAATACAGGTGTGGCTTCGGCTAAGTTATGAGTCTTAATCACCAAACCCGTATCATAGGGGCCTATTTGCCTATACTAGTTTGTTTTGGGGGGTCCGTATCATGATTATTTATACGCTATTATACCCCAATTCCCTATTCTATATTGTTAAGGACACTACATTACTCGTGCGTTGAATATGACTTAGCGGGCTACAGCAGTACTGCAGTTGTATCTGCCCGAAACCGCTTTCGAGACATCAAGAAATTGAGCCAAGGGAAGGTCAAAAACAGACCTTGAAACACAAGACTCAATAGAAGTCGTGCGGCATGCAGAAATGGAAGACATAGAACAGTTACGAAGACAGTTGCGCACTGAATCGAAAGAAGCCCATCTGAAAGTCTACACTCCCAACCATACAAACATTGGACAGCATAGAACCACAATGAGCAAGTGGGTCAAGGGCAGGTTAATCATGGGTATATAAGAAAAGCGGAACATCTGTAACAGCAGAATACAGAGGACCTATGCCACGCTTTACAGTAAGCACCTATCATCCAATGCAGTACTCGAGCACACCCTAAACCCCAACCACTCTGCCGTGCAGGACTTGGCTGCACCAACAGCCCGTGCATCCGTCATTTGGATCATCGGCCACTACCAGCAGGAGGTGGCTTGTGTCAGCGGTGGATAAAAACATGAATCCATGCCCAGTCAACGAAGCACGCTAACACTGCCAAACACATGCGCCGCTCTATCGATGCCAATCCCCGCCACCAGAAGCAGCATGTGCGCGAACATCGGCAAGGGCGGCTGTCACGCGACGAATACAGCATGTAGGACACCACCACCACCACCACCACCACCATCAACAAAAAATACAACAACAGCATCAAGAACAGCAGCAAGAGCAAAAGCAAAAACAACAGCAAACGCAACAGCAACAGCGACAGCGACAGCATCATCTACGACGACAACAACATACAAACACATACAGAAACAAACAATCACACATACACAAGCAAACAAGCAAGACAACAACCAACCAAACAGACAAACAACAAACAAACAAACACACAGACCCACCCACGCACACAAACAACTACACAAGAAACAAACAAACAAACCAACCAGCAGACACGCTAAACAAAATCGCAAGCACACCCAGAAGCACAAACACCCAAGCACACAAAACAAGCAAACACACAAGCAAACAAACATGCAGACAAACTCCAACTAATCGCCGCCACCACCACCCCAACAACAACAACAACAACAACAACAGCATCAACAGCAGCAGCACCAGCAGCACCAGCAGCACCAGCAACAGCAACAGCAACAGCAACAGCATCAACACCATCAACAACCGCAACATCAATAGCAACATCAACAATACTAACAGCAGCAACCGCAACGGAAACAGCAACGGCAAGGGCAACGGCAACAGCAGCAGCAACAACGGCATAAACGGCAGCAGCAGCAGCAGCAGCAGCAGCAGCAGCAGCAGCAGCGGCAGCACAGCAGCAGCGGCAGCGGCAGCAGCAGCAGCGGCAGCAGCAGCAGCAGCAATTCAATTACAGATAAACTCCGCAGGAGAAACAACAGCACAGCAGCAAAAGCAACCATGCATGCAGCGGCACCTGCACCGGCACATACACCGATGCGCGTTCAACAAAATGACATGATAACCACCACGGTGTCGTCGATCACTGTATCTGCTATTAGCCGCCGTCATACTCATAATCTCAACAGCAGCAGTAGCAGGTAGCAAATGCTGGATGTGCCGAAATTCACTCATCGCCGCGGTCACCACCACCATCTCTTGTGTTCATTGCCAGCATCGTCAACATCATCAGCACTGGTCATCACAGGAGGTCAAGCCGTTAGTTAAACCCGCAATGTTTCGGATTTTACAGATTACGACATCGCTCAAAACAATACATGTAAACATGTACGTCAGCACAAACGCCCGAAGACGGCTCACACTGCGAACGACCAGAACACAGGCACCACTGACAGCACTTACATCTGCTCTTGCTCTGCCATGCTGCCACTCTACTGCTACAATCGGAAGTACTATACGACCAGCACAACAGCAAAGAGTCTGCTACCGCCACCTCACTGCCAATCGTGCTACTCCACCACGACAACACCATTACTACAACAACGACTACTACTACTCCTCCTATTCCTCCTATTCCTCCTATTCCTACTACTACTACTACTACTACTACTTGCTACTTACTACTTACTACTTACTACTTACTACTTACTACTTACTACTTACTACTTACTACTTACTACTTACTACTTACTAATTACTACTTACTACTTACTACTTGCTACTTACTACGTACTACTACTACTACTACTACTACTACTACTACTACTACTACTAACTACTACTACTAACTACTACTACTACTACTACTACTACTACTACTACTACTACTACTACTACTACTAACTACTACTACTACTACTACTACTACTACTACTACTACTACTATCACTACTGCTACTGCTAC